GTTTTCCCAACAACACTGTCTCAGTCACCAGCTTCTTATTTTACATTCAGCAGGTGCTCCTCTCATCCACAGTGATGCAAAGTAAACAGGAAAACAAAGTGGTACTCAGTGTTGAATCAGTGCTGATCCATCTCCATTTCAACTCTGTTTAAGAAGGAGAGCGCCGATAGATTAACTGTCCCAGGGCCGCAGGGCTCAAAGGAATAAAAGATGCAGCGGTGTCCAAAACAAAAGCACAAGCTGCGAGTTCACCGTTGGCTCACACATCAAGGAAATGTATTTGAACCCTGGAGTGTAGAGTTCATGTGGGCAGGTGAACGCGCTCAAATTGGTTCGGCACTAAAAAGCTGCACTGGGGTGCCTCGACATTTGGGACTGGGTCCTCTCTCAAGTCAAAGGGAAGTGGCCATGTGGTTTGTGAGGAATAGGAATGCAATCGGATGTATACAGAACAGTAAACAGCACAGAAACATCTGGTTTTAAGGATGTAAGGAGGCAGATGTTCCCCACAGTAATCCTGAACAATTCATCACAGATAGAAAAGTAATCTGATGAAGTAGATTTACACTAGATGTATGTGTGCTAAACTGAATCTAAGCAATTTACTCCAACCAAAGATTTAACATCCAAAGGGAATTAAGATAAACACAACTCAAATGTGTGGTACTAAAGGCCTAAATGTAGCTGTATGTCAGTGCTGGAGGATATACTCTGACCTGCAGGATTCACAAAGACACTTGGTGAATGTACCTTGTATGTAAGCTCACATACATCTCTATGTTTCCTATAGAAAATTGTCTCTCCACTTTATCATGTCCTTATGTCAAAAGGTCACGTTGACAGATGAAATGGTTCTGTCGATCATTGTAAAAATCAAGTTGGGAGTGAACTGTATGTTGAGTCGTGATCCAATAAATTCATCCATAAAAAAAAAAAAAAAGCAAAAATGTCAAAGTCAGAGCAGACAACAGTCTCTCCTGCTGCCGTGGTGACCAAGGACAGAGAGAAAGAGAAAAGATAGAAAGTGATAGAAAGTGATAGAAAGTGAGGAGGTGGGCGACAGAGAGCCAGACAATCATACACATAAGGTAGAGAAGGGGAACGGAGCAATAAAACGTTCTTATTCATGATTGTCTACTTTGTTACTGTGCTCTAGCAGTATTCTGCTGGTCTGTCATGTCAGTAAAACCTAAAGTGATCTTAAATGGATTCATGGTAAAAAAAACAAAAACATTAACTTATATCATTATTAAATAAACTTATATTTTCAACTCAGTGTCATTAAATATGTTTTTCAGTTTCAGGTTCATCACTTTTAGAACATATAAATATGTTCAGGCTTGTAACTGAAGAATGAGTGGACAAAATGTCCAATTGATAATGTACTTAACTCATAAAATCATACTATTTAGAAAGCATAATACCTCCCAGCATGCATTGAAAACGCATTTCTGCTACTCCCTTTTGTGGGTCATGTGAAAATGAATACAAATATAGGATATCTCTTATGAAATATCAAACTTAGTGTGATCAAAAGTAATGCCACGGGCAATTACAAACAGTATAAACTGAAGCAAAATATCTAAGTTGGATAAACTCAAAGCCAGACATTAAATAAATACATAAATCAAACTCAAAAGTTTGTTGCCCTGAAATTTTGACTTTTCTCAACTGTTCCCTCCTTACAGTGCTGGTGGCACGTGGAGACAGATGGAGGAAAAGGTGTCTGGTGACTGGTCACCTGCAGGTACTCAGAGATGGAGGAGCACGCTTAATGTAGGACAGCTTTCCAACAGGGCATTCTTCAACCCTAAATATAGACGGGACAGAAGTAGGCCGAGCGCTGCCAAAAGGCCACGAAAAATAAGCCAGAATGTGAAACGCTTATACGGTGAGTGAGGACTGGGTGTCGTGCACGTCTACATTTGACAAATACATTTTATTAACTTGAATTTGCTCTTTATTAAGGGGTTAAAACAAAACGTGGTAAGCCTTTCCTTTGACACAAACTGAGTGTGCACATGAAGATGAAGGTGACAAAACTCACACAAAAATGTAACAATGTGCCGCAGCATCGAGTCTCTGAGAAATACTGCAATATTTTCTGTAGCAGACTTCTGGAACATGACATCAGTTCATAATCCTGACTAACTTGTCATTAAAATAAGAGTAGGTTTTAACTTAAAACACATCTTAAAAGGATAGGTGGACATTTTTTTGAAGTATTTCTTAAAACAAATACTTACACGCTGATAAGAACATGTTGTTGGTCGCTGTAAATGTTGCTCCTGTACTGGCTTGCAAAGAGATCTCCTGCTAAAACTATTCCACTGTAACAGAGAGGGGGGACAAAAGCTAATATGGAGCTTCATTTATTACTCAGCCAACTGTTTTATTTACAGTAGACGTGCGTTACAATGTGTAATGCTAGAGTAATGTAGTAAGTAGCGTGACGGTGTTTCTGCGTTGCCATCATGTAACCAGATGGGTCCACAGTGCAGTGCAAAAGCCAATCCTAATAAACAAACAAACAGCTGCGACAGGATGGTAGTTAAAGGAGAGAATTTGGCACAAAAAAAAGATTGTAAATTTGGAAAATATCCACTTGATCAGACTTACTCAAGACTGTTGAAGCCTCATATTTATATTCAGGACTGTAGATTTAGTCTCCCATCACTTTGAGAGGGGATCTCTTAAAGTAATTTATTTGACAGTATGATTAACGTACATATGGGTACGTCGGTCTCGTCTGTAAGACAGACTTGAAACATCTAAACCTGTCCTTTAAGTGTGGTTCTTGGGGTTGTTATATAGAGGACTCCAAACAGAACATTATTAAAGCGTTTATCTTTGTGTTTGCACCACATGGAGTTCATACTTCCTACCTCTGTATTATATCCACTCTATCCTGTCCACCCTACCACACACTAACAGAGAATTACTCTCCTTACGGAGCTGGTGTGGAGTCTGTATCTTGCTAAAAGACGGTACAGCGAGGTAGACTCTTTAATCCGTCCCACGGTACGGCCACGTCTAGCTACACAGTGTCGGTATAAGTGGGGCTGGGCACATGTTTTACACTGTGCCGTGACAAGCCTCGACTTATCCCAGGCAGCGAGACCCAGAAACACATACACCGTATACGTCACAGTTACCGTCAATGAGAGACGTTAACATTCCTGCTGGAGGAAATCAAGGTGAACTGAGAGAAAGAAGAGTTCTAGAGATGAGGGGGAAGTCAGATTCATTTAGTTCCCAGTAATACGGTACTCCCCACACTTGGTAAAAATAAATAACCATGATTCCTCTCACCTCACAGTAGTAGTGCTCTATTCTTAGCAGGTAATCCTGGGCGTGGTCATGATAGTTTGAAACAGCATAGTTCAATGACACCCTGCCAGTAAAGCACATCAAAAGGTATCCTGGTTACACCGTTGTCTCATTCCAGTTGGTTCTCTCAGGTCAGCGAAGCTCTCTGTAGCTCTCTGTAGTCCCATTTCTTTTATGTAAGATCAACAGTATGGTTTCAAGCTGCTGTGAGATGTATGTTAGAGTGCTGGTTTGAAAGAAGTCCCCTGAGTCAGCAAAAATACATGTTTGCGGATCACTAAATGGGCTTTTGTTCTGCTATGGCCCACGCATACTGTAAAAAAATACCAACCCAAACCTGCTCTGTTCTGTTCTACCTCAGCCGCCCCAACACACACACACACACACACACACACACACACACTCATCGTGACTCATCAAGAAATTCCCACTCTCCACTTCGGTGGAGATCTTGGCAGTGACTCATCGGAGCAAAGGTGTGACATTCAGGGACTGCCTGCTGCTGCGTTACATGTGGAAACAAGTGGAAGGGGTGGGGACAAAGTTATCTTTGCATTTTGGCGTTTTATATGATGTAATAAATCTCCAATCACCAAGTTGTTAGATGACGGCTCTCTTATCGTCACACTTTCAAACGAAAAAATATCAACTAGGATCAACTTAAAGCCTGGAGAATAAACCACAAATGTTTTTTTTAACAACAGAGAAAAACGGAGAATGCTGGCATTAAACAAATCCAATTAAAAGACAAGACGACCAAAAGTCTACAGCTGTGCAAGTGGCCGACCTTAAGCACAGCTGTTCATCATAAACCAAATAACAATCATAAAAGTATGGACACAAGATTAAGACAGTTATTGTTACGCCTGTGCTCAAAAACAGAGAGGGGAACTTTTCCAGAAGCAAACATACGTGCTTGGTTCCTACGACCGAGCGGGCAAAGGGTTAGAAAACAAATGTTGGTTATTAAACATTTTAAAGTTCTCTGCAAAGCACCCAGTCAGCCGCTGTTCTTTCATTGCTTCAAGCAACGAGTACTTGAACAAGCCATAACTCTGCATGTTCATATTTGGGACAGTTTTTTGGAAGCAACTGGATGCACAACTTGAGCAACCCCTCCATCAATGTCAAAGGTTTCTCTGGACACATTCCCAGTCCAGCGGGGTCCACTGTACACCAACTCAAGTGTCTGGAATGAGTCCACCGCTCGGTGAGCAAGTGGTGAAAGAAGCAGGAGCGTGGACTCAGTCACTGTGGAAATAATAGATACAGAAGCAGCAAAACCAACTGGTTGAAAGGGAACCTTGTGGTGATGCATTGTTTTTTGCCCAAAGCTGTGACATGAGATTGTAACTCATAAAATTAGCTCTTAGGAATAGTTCCCCCCCCCCCTTTATATTAATTTCAGTCAGGAATAAATAAAAACAGCCCTTTTCTTCATAAAATGGGAAGGATACGTGTACGTGAAACGTTAACATTTGCCGACATTACCGCAAAAGGCCCACAAATGGACAGAATCAGGAAATGAAGACATTTGGACAAGGACACAAGTGCAACATGAGTTTATTGTCAAACTGGTTATTAAGACATGAACTTGATTAATGCCGTATCAAATCTTAAACTCCGCTGTAATAAAGTGCAGATTCAAATCAAGTTGCCCTGGGAGTCCTCGTACATTTTTCCATGTCTGGTTTTGAACTGTCAGGTTAAATAGACTGCGATATGAAATCCTATGAATTATGAAAAGCCCTTTTTTTTTTTTTTTCAACCCACACATCTAAAGCTAATGTGCAAACGAGATAAGTCACAAAGCTTTACCGTCCTGTACGTCGAGGCGTCCTCCCACTCACTCCGGTCTCATACAATTGGACGACATGAGTAGAACGGTCCTAGCTGTAGTCTAGTTTTGGAGTCTAGGAGTTCTCATGAATGGTTTTCTGCAGTGATTGGTTGGTTAATATGCTGCTGCACATGCACAGTGACCCAATGTTGGTAACCTATCTAGATTTTTTTTGTCCTTTTTGATCATGATTATTAAAAAGAACAACAGCATTTAAATGTCGGCCATGTATGAACGTTAAGAGGTCACTTCTGTGTACAAGCCTGCTCCAGCGGTTGTAGACAGAGTTTGGCCGCTGTGGCTTCTGGTGGCAGTCATGTGCATTGTGGAATCTCCATGAGTGCCACTCCGACAAAACTCTCGCCCTCAATAATTTGTGTAAGCTCAAAAAAAACACTCTGCATACAAGAAAACACACTGCGTGACACTCGCGCGCACACACACACAATCAATCAGTCAGATTCATTCACTCTTCTTACAACAATCGGTACAATGTTTTTTGCGCCCCCCCCACCCCACACACACACACACACACACACACACACTTCTCTGGGTGAAGTAAGGGGATACTGAAGGAAACGGCAGCAATGAGGTAAACACAAAAACTCATGAGATATTGCACAGACAAGTGCCGGCACAGAATACAACAGTCTCTCTTTCCAACAGCCTAGCCTGTGCATAGGAAGAATAAAGCACTTATGGTGTTCGCAGACATTAACCCCCTCTCGTAAAGCTTTGTTATACACTAAAGTGGGAACCACAAAGCAGTCTGGAATCCACACCACTTGGCAGATATCCAGAGTTGCATGACGATGACTGAATATTTTGTAAAAAGTACAAAAAAAAACAAAAAGAAAACCCTAATGAGTGAGGAAGGGTCCATGACTGTTGGCAACAGTGATGGGACAAACAAAAAAAAAAACAACCTGAAGTCCCAGCATGTGTAGAAATGCCTCAACCCTTGTTTTGAGAAGAGAGAAGCAGGCAAAGTTGAAGCTGGGTCGGAGCCAGCATGGAGATAAATCTCTCAAGTTTCATTCAATAAATAGCATAGTGGAATATGCAAAAAAGAAAAAAAAAAAAAAATTCTAAAGCAAAATTACATAAACCCCTTGCTCAGTTCATCCAGAGACAATTGTATTTGTCCACGTTGCATCGGAAATGCTTCCCCACAGGTCAGGCCAGTCAGAGCTGTGGCTCCGTGAAGGAGCAAACGGGAAGAGAACGGAAACTCACTCCTCCGTTCACGCCCATCATTTTTCAGTTTCTTCTCGCTGAATGAGGACATTTTTGTTCACACGAATCTTCAAGTTCTTACAATCCAAATAGTTTGAGTTCACAAACCTAACCCAGAAAAATAGTGTCTTTCAGCTCAAAACACCTTGAACTATATTGCTCCTCGGGTCTGTCCAGTCCACTCGATGTGATCACGCCCCCCCCACCCCCCCTTCCTCCTCTCCATCACAATCATTATCTGTGGAGCAAGACGAAGGCCTCTAGTTTCTCGGGGATGTTTCCCCGGTAGATGAGGCTGTGCTTGACGATGGCCCTGGCGGCCAGGCACTGCAGCGTGGTGTGGTTTATGGGCTGGATGATGTTTCTGGACAGCTCCTTCTCGTCCAGGAGGTCGCAGGCCGTTTGTTGGAAGGCGTTGGTGCTGTCAAAGTGAGTCCCGCATGATATCAGCAGGTTCATGATGTCAGGGTGACCGTTGGACGCGGCTATGTGAAGGGGGCTGGTGGGGTTGGGAGAGATAACAGATCCGCTATGTGATTATACTACAAAACATGTCATCGTCGGTGTGGTCGGACATGTTCATGTTACTGGTTTAACTGGTGGGCGTCACAATGGCGCAGCTGAGAAGCTTTTGAGGCATTTTTCATTTAGCTTCTTGGTTTACAGACAAAAGAAATAAAATGATTGTTCTGTCCTTTTTCCTACCATGTTGTTTCTTATGAACAGAAATATAACCAGTATAGAGAAAGAACAATTATGGGAGCTGAAACTAGAGTGGAAGAAAAATAAATACAAAAACAGACCTGTTGTCATCTTCATCGCGGCTGTTCATATCTGCCCCACACTCAAGAAGGATGGAGGTGACGGTGAGGGAGGGGAACTTGCAGACGGGGTAGCGGCCCACACAGGTGGTGTTGCGGTCGACTGCCAGGTGTAGTGGACTGTAGCCGTTCTTACCACACGGCTGGAGCTTCAGGAATCTGTGAAGATTTGGAAAAGACTTTTCAGGCAAGGGACAGCAAAGAGGTGACGATGAACTAATGAACTACAACCTTCATGGTAACCGCACGAAGCAAGGGCCACAGTGTCCCAACCGACAATGAGGTTTGAATGAATTAGTGGCACCAATTAGACATCTTCATGCACATGATGCATTGACACAAATTTACAAAAGGCCCGTGGCAGAAGTGGAATGCATCGTTTAGCTCTTATTTGGTTAAAAAGGGGCGGAGTATGAAAGTGCTGTGACTTGTGCAAGTTCACACTACCAAAGCAAATACAAGGCAGAGCATGAAAGAGACATTTTTAGTAACAAGGTCAAAGAAAAGCACCGCTACAAAAAAATTCAGTGGGTGACCTCGCTCTACAAGACTATCAGGGCTGTTTTCCTCACAGAAGACAAATTGTTGCCAATAAAAGTAATCTACGCAGAGACTCACTTATAGATGGTTTCCTTTTTGAAGTGGTCCTGCTCTGCGGTGCAGGGCACCTTCTCTAAAAGACAGATGAGGTGCAGGATGATTGACAGGGCCTTGCTGAGCTGGGCAGGGTCGGGAGGCATGGGTCCATTTTGTGTAACCGCCCGCTCAATCTCCAACACGCTCTTGGAAAGGATCCCCATCAAGTCCTCAAATGACACCGATGTCCCCAGGAGCCCTTTGGCTCGGTCCTGCAGCATGAAGGAGAAGAGCTCAGCGAACGACAGCAGGCTGGAGGCCGTCATGGGGCTGAGCGGGTCCAGGTTGCTTTGCTGCATGTCCAACGCATACTTCCACAAATTGATACAGCGTTCAAAGTTCCCGGAGTCGGCGTAGACGGCACCTCGGTACCGGATGTAATACGACGTGTCTGGGTGTTGCGGGCCGAGGATTCTTTCACGGATGAGCAGCGCCTGCATGCGCATCTCATCTGGGTCAGATATCAGCCCGTCCAGCTCTTCTCCGTTTGTGACCTAGGAGGAGGATTACAACGTCAAGACAATGGCAGGGTGGACACATTTTGACAGTTTAGGGGTTAACTGTTATTTTTGTGGAAAAAAAAAAGAAAAAAAAGTCAGGTTTTCTTTGTTCCATTTCTTCACAGCAAACAGAAACAAATGCAGCCGGTGTCTGCAAATACAAAAAAAGACTAGAATGCAGCTTTTTTTTGTGCGCGGTGACTTTAAAAGCAGTCATCCTGCTAAACTCTGTGCCGTCGTCACCAAATTATGACCACGTCAGCAATAATAAAAACCTATAATTAGAGCATCAAATGAAATGCGGAATCACTCTGGGGTTGGCGCTTGTTGGAAAAAAACAGGCTCAAACGAATACTCACCTCCCTGGCGTAGTCGTATGCCATGATCAGCTGCTTGGCTTCCGCTTTATGGACGATGGAGTTACTGTCCATGTACCTGAGGTCCATGGCTCTCTTCCAGTATTTCAACGCTCCGAGCAGATCTCTCTTCTTGTCAACAAACGTGGCTCCCAGGAGCTCCAGGGCATCGATGCGCTCCGTGGGGCTCGTCTGCAGAGAAAAGAACAGCATGTTATTCAATAGATTAAAACACCATAACCCCTCGCCTCACATGAACCCATGCAGACAAACTCTCCATTTGTAAGAGACGGAGCCTCTGACCTGCTGGTGCATCGTGAGGTCGTCTACGATGTTAGTGTGGCCTGTGACGCTGGCAGACAGCAGGGGCGTCATGCCGTAGCCGTCCTGCTCCATGGACGCGCCAAACTGCAGTAACATCCGCATGATCTCAAGGCTGCCCGACTCAGCACAGTCATGAAGCGCCGTGTTGCCTGCATACATCAAGCAAACAGTCTTATCATTTCCACATTGAGACCTAGAAAGTTACAGCAAAGCCAGGAGTGCAGTCGTTTACCCTGGACACTCCTTTCTCTGGGAATATACTGTATTTAAAATGGCTGCAGATCAGCTGTTAAAAGGATTTTTGTGGAAGCTGCCATCAAGTCATTTATCTGTTAAAATTCTGTTCATTCTGTACACATGGCATCTATTGCACTTCTGCCCATCATGGGAGAGGGATCCCTCCTCTGTTGCTCTCCCACAGGTCTCTCCCTCTTTTCTCCCCGTTAAAGGGTTTTTTTGGGGGAGTTTTTCCTGTTCCTACAGTGCATCCGCAAAGTATTCACAGCGCTTCACTTTTTCCACATTTTGTTATGTTACAGCCTTATTCCAAAATGGATTAAATTCATTATTTTCCTCAACATTCTATACACAACAACCCATAATGACAAAGTGAAAACTGTTTTTTGCAAATCTATTAAAAATAAAGAACGAAAACATAACATGTACATAAGTATTCACAGCCTTTGCCATGACACTCAAAATGTAGCTCAGGTGCATCCTGTTTCCACTGATCATCCTTGAGATGTTTCTACAACTTGATTGGAGTCCACTTGTGCTAAATTCAGTTGATTGGACATGATTTAGAAAGGCACACACCTGTCTATATAAGGTACCACAGTTGACAGTGCATATCAGAGCATAAACCAAGCCATGAAGTCCAAGGAATTATCTGTAGACCTCCGAGACAGAATTGTATCGAGGCACAGATCTGGCGAAGGATACAGAAAAATTTCTACAGCATTGAAAGTCCCAATGAGCACAGTGGCCTCCATCATCCGGAAATGGAAGAAGTTTGGAACCAACAGGACTCTTCCTAGAGTTGGCCGCCCAGCCAGACTGAGCGATCGGGGGAGAAGGGCCTTAGTCAGGGAGGTGACCAGGAACCCGATGGTCACTCTGACAGAGCTCCAGTGTTGTTCTATGAAGAGGGGAGAACCTTCCAGAAGGACAACCATCTCTGCAGCACTCCACAAATCAGGCCTGTTTGGTAGAGTGGCCAGACGGAGGCCACTCCTCAGTAAAAAGCACATGACAGTCCGCCTGGAGTTTGCAAACAGGCACCTGAAGGACTCTCAGACAATGAGAAACAAAATTCTCTGGTCTGATGAAACAAAGATTGAACTCTTTGGCCTGAATGCCAAGCGTCATGTCTGGAGGAAACCAGGCACTGCTCAACTGGGAGACTAGTCAGGATTGAGGGAAAGATGAATGCAGCAATGTACAGAGACATCCTCGATGAAAACATGCTCCAGAGCGCTCTGGACCTCAGACTGGGGCGACGGTTCATCTTCCAACAGGACAACGACCCGAAGCACACAGCCAAGATAACAAAGGAGTGGCTTCGGGACAACTCTGTGAATGTCCTTGAGTGGCCCAGCCAGAGCCCTGACTTGAACCCGATTGAACATCTCTGGAGAGATCTGAAAATGGCTGTGCACCGACGCTCCCCATCCAACCTGATGGAACTTGAGAGGTTCTGCAAAGAAGAATGGGAGAAACTGCCCAGAAATAGGTGTGCCAAGCTTGTGGAATCATACCCAAGAAGAATTGAGGCTGTAATTGCTGCCAAAGGTGCTTCAACAAAGTATTGAGCAAAGGCTGTGAATACTTATGGACATGTTATGTTTTCGTTCTTTATTTTTAATAGATTTGCAAAAATTTGCAAAAAACAGTTTTCACTTTGTCATTATGGGTTGTTGTGTGTAGAATGTTGAGGAAAATAATGAATTTAATCCATTTTGGAATAAGGCTGTAACATAACAAAATGTGGAAAAAGTGAAGCGCTGTGAATACTTTCCGGATGCACTGTATGTGATGGTTCCGGGACAAAGGATGTCACATGTGTACAGATTGTAAAGCCATCCGAGGCAAATTTGTAATTTTGGGCTATACAAAAATAAACTGAATTGAATCGACATCCTGCAAACTAGGTCACTAAACCCTTGGATATCAGGGTCAATCATCAACAAAAACAGTGTTTTAAAAAATTCAACATTTGGTTCTTTAAGTAAATAAAGTGAACCCACCTAATAAATAACACTTTCTGTCCATCCTTACCAGCCTATCATGTCAATGTAACACTTGTGTAATGCTGCTTTCGCCTAGCCGCTCTAAACCAAGGTACACCAAGGTTAATCCATATTCAAGCAGACCAGACAGGTTTAGCCAGGGATTAACCATTATTTATACTCCGTTTTCCTCTAGTTTGGATGGTTAAATGCCTTCAAATAGACTGTTTGCTTCAAATGAATGCTAAACCAATTTATCACCGTGTTGCCATACATTTGCCACAATGCCTCTCAGACCTTCCTCAAAACCAGGTGCGACCAGAGCCGACACCTTTTCTGGGGGAATATCTTCCACATCAATAGTTTTAGATGGTGAAGGATGTATGTTGAGCTCTGCTCTTCTGGATGATAAATTCACTTCCACTAACGAAAACAAGTCAATCCCGAAACTAAGGAAATCCTTCACAGAGCCAGCGATTAGTCTGAATACTCATTATGCGCTTCCAAGCTGAATTTAGGCTACCTTAAGCTGGCGTGAGGAGGGCACCTCACTAACAGGTGTTGTACTGAAGGAATAAACTACGTGTTGGTTGGTCTGGGGAGGAAGAGAGCAGCAGACCAAAGCCTTTGAGGCAGTTCAAATCAGCTGGGATTGTAGTTTCCATTGTTTTTGGAAACTTGCCACTTCGTATCTTGCACATCTACTCCATGTTGGTTCAGCTATTATGGAAGATCTGATGATCTGATTAGTAAGAGAGCTTTCCACCTTAATCACCACACAGGATACTGAAAAGCTTGCTTGTTAGCAAACGCTTTGGTTTGTGCACAATAGAGCGCCTGCTGCTTTTTCTCCTACCAGTCAGGTGAACTGTGTTGACTTTGGTGTTTGGGCTTCATTAGGCAAGTAAAGGATGAGCTACAACAGCGCCGTTTTGACACTCAAATGTGCAAAAAAATAAAAAATAATACTGCTTGCAGGTTTAACAGATACTTGCATGGCAATCCACACATATACCACATAAGTAGTAGGTATACATTTGTGAGGGTATGATCATTTGAAACACACGGAGCATGTGGTCAAAGGAGAAGTGGACTATAGTTGATGGTACGTCTTCAGGGCAAATTGATAATTTCTCCAACCATGAAAACTGGTCAATTTTGAATTCCAGCCTTCCTCCACATCTACAGTGGTCCACTGATTGATAAACACATTTATGCAGGATATCACTTTAATGCTTTTCTCTTCAAGCAATCCTGTGGGCGGTCATCATGTAAAATTTAAATATAAAAAAAAAAAAAACACAAATAGACACTGGTTTTAATGTATTCATAGAATAACATTCAAGGAGAGCTTACGACACACCCACTGAATCAGTCCAAGCTGACATACTCGTCATCACCACAGCTTTCCATTGTGAAACCAGAAGTTCATGTTATTCTGTTGAGTCATTTCACATGAAATATGCAGATACTAATTCCCATCTCATATTGTTGACTCCTTAGTGCAACTTGTGCATTTAGAACTCCGTGTGTATTGAGGTTATTTCACCTGTTTGCAACATATTTTTTCCCTGATTTGATCTAAAATCACTTGCTACTAGACTGTGAAAGACTTCTATTGCTCTCTCATTATTCTGGCAACACTACTGTGACATAAGGAATACAAACCATATGAAACTCTGGATTGTAGTGTGTCGTTTGATGCTGATAGCTGTGAGTGCGCTATCCACTGACCTTTTACACTTTTCCTGTTGACATCTGCGCCTCTCTCCAGCAGGTACTGCGCTATCTCATTGTGTCCTTTGTAGCAGGAGATCATGAGACACGTGTGGCCGTGTCTGTTGGCCACCTCCAGGTCAGCTTTGTGCTCCACCAGGTACTTCACAATGTCCAGGTGACCGTCAAAGCAGGCCGCCCTCAGGGGGGTTGAGTTGGTGAGGGTCGTGCTGTTCACAGAAGCTCCGTGGCCCAGCAGGGACTGGACCACCTTCAGGTGACCAGCCGCCGAGGCTGCCCACAGAGGGGGCGCCCCCTCGATGGTCTCCCCGTCAAAGTTCACCGACCCACCGACCTCAACAGGAGCGCTGCAGCACTCCAGCAGGTACTCCACCAGGTCCAGGTGGCCATATCGGGAGGCCATGAGGAGCGGCGTGGCCCCGTTCGTCTTCTCCCCCATCAACTTGGTCACCTCGTGTCCATCTTTGTTCTCCAACAGCTTCTGAAGCAGCCGGAGCTTACCGTCCCTGGCTGCGTTAAATACTGCCGTCTTTAAATCCATGTCTGGGTGTTAGTTTCACCGTTTTAAGAAAAAGGCAACAATGTCCGTGAAACAAAAAGGTGAACGGTATCTCGAGGTGTAGCGTAGCTGGACAGGTGGAGCTCGGGACCCTTTGTTTACAATAAGCTCCACTCACGAGCTAGCGGGAAACACTCGTTAGCGAGCGCTTTGGTTAAAACCCACGGCAATGTTTGACTTTCTAAACTTCAGCTTTAAAAATAGCCATCACCAGCCTGCTCTGTGAGTAAATTAACTCCGATTTTTGAGACGACCCTTGGTCCAGTAATACATTTGTTAGCAAGGTGGCTAGTCAACTTCCTTGATCTCTTTAGCTGAACCAACTAGCTTCTCTGAGCTCAACTAACGTTACACCTCTTTATTGATCGTCCAACCGATACTCATCCACCGACACGTCTTCTCCTCGACTCCATTATATCTGCTTCCTGCGCCTGTCATTGTCCCACAACACACTCCCGAGACGGTATTTATATTCGCTTCCCGAGGGCCGAGATACTGACATCCACCCCCACCCGTCACGTCGTGCTGCTGTTAGCTTACCCTGGTGAGCGACGGTTGGCTTCTTGTTCGTCTAAACACTCGGAGGATGTCCCCAGAGTGTCAGAGACGTTTGTCTTTCACACACGTCCAAAAACACGCGACGTTACCAGACGCGACCCCCTAAATACCAGTCGTCCACGTAGCCACTCAGCAAGCTGGCACGACAACAGTCTGAGCGAAGGTAAACAGGGAAGAAAATCCACCCACGGCTCGACCGGATGATCACGACTCAGTTTCTGTCAAATCGCAAATCCAGCGCAGTCTTTTTTTCTCGAGTAACGCAAATGATTGACGGTGTGAACAGCCAATCACAGCGCTAGTAGACTGTGACGTAGTCGATAAGAAACAACTAAAGGAGATTGCTGCTTTTCAGGGAACCTTGGATTTTATAAATAAGAAATAATTACCATGTAAAGAGGAACCAGCGTCAGAAGATTTCTTAAAATACGTCCTATGTATCTTCCGGATTAAAAAATATTGTCTGGGTGCAAATATGACTGCGATGGCCTTGATTATATCTCTCCCTGCAGGTTAAAATAAGCATGACCAGAAGATATATCCAAATACTTCATCCCTGAAAAGCAAGTGTTTATTAATGATAAATCATTAAAACAATACTTCGACCTTTCAACAAAAAATGTATTCAGCTGTCTCAATTAAACAGTTCCCAGAATGCATCAGAGCTGAATTTGTTTTTAAAATAGTGCTGCAAATGATTACATCGTTTAATCGGTTGATTGTTTTCTGGATTATTCAGTTGTTTAGTCTATAAAATGTCAGAAAATTGTGAAAAATTATCAGTGTTTACCAAAGATGACATCCTCAAATGCCTTGTTTTTTCCACAACTCAAGATATTCAATTTACTGTCACTAGACAGTTACTAGAGTAAAGAAACCAGACAAATATTCACATATAATTAACTGCAGTTCTTTTTAAAACTTTTTTTTCTGAAACAATTAATCAAACCAATCGATCCACTATCAAAATAGTTGTCGATTAATTTAATAGTCAACTAATCGATAAACCATTGCAGCTCTAGTCCAAAAATGACCTGTCAGCGCATACAGCTAAAGCTGAAAAGCCAACCCTGCACCTTCTACCAAGACTGTCAAACATTGTTATTAGTTATTTTCCAATGCCTCTAGAATCAGTAATGACAGTTAAACAAGACCAAACTATAAGAGCATAGTTTTTAGTTTTGTTCAGTGGGTTACGTGTTAAAGTCCGTCTTTGTCTGGAATATAATATTTATCTCACATTACAACTGTGTTCTGCTCATTCAGGTTGTGTACTGTAAAAACTCTACAGGTGAACTTCAAAAGTTAATTCATGTTTCGTGTCCAAGAGCAAAATCTTCCGTTAGATTTTGTTTACAAATCAAAACAGTGACAGAAAGAATGACCCACTGACTTTACGTGATTCCTGTCTGGAGCAACACTACCAGCTTAAAGTAAGCCTGTAACTGCACTCTCAACTGTTTAGAAGCAGTCATATAATATAGAGCCACAGTAGATTTAAGCCGTCTAAATCTTCCTTCCTGTTCCTTTGGAAAATCAGTCGAGTAGGCAGTCAGGGATAAAAAAAAAAAAAAAAAAAAAAATTCAAATCACATTTACAACTCAAGGTACTGGAATTAACTTATAATCAAGCAATTGTTTGCAAAACATGAATTTTACAACAGTGCTGTATAAAACCAAAAGAGCAACATCAGCCCACAAGATAAATAGGTTGTTACACTTCAAACAGCAAAGGCGGGACTAGCTATAACATTGCAAGGGAGCCAGTGAAAGACATGGTGCACTTAAAATTGCTGGCTAAACACACAAAATGTGTCATTTTCAAACAAAAGAATAATATCTGTTATTTCTTTTTTTTGTCTTCCACACTGAGTCACATAGATAATAACATTTTATGAGATAGTTCGCCTAATAACTCATCTAAAATGACAAAGGTCATAAAAACACAACACAATATCTACTCTCTCACTTAACACAGCGAGGTTTAATAGAGGAAAAAAAAACAGCGTATTTTTCATAACCAAATGCAACCTTAGTGGGGTAAAACTCTGCTTAGCTAGTGTGGTTTTAGAGACCCGATGCTCTGCCCGTAAAGAAATAAACAAAACCATAAACCTTGCAGTCTGAGTACATCTAGTCACAAATTACACTCTTTGTCATTTCAGTGCACAGTTTGGGCTGAAAAATGGAATAGATCAGGGAAAGAGCATTTGAAATGACGGGGGTAGAAAAGAACATAAATACAATCAGAACACATTCTGAAATTACTTCAAATATTTTAAGTATTTAAGGTCTGCTTTAACTATCTGACCGTAATCGGCCTCCAATACAGATAGTTACAAGTAACAAAAGAAAGCCTTTCATTACGTTCTCTTTTATCCCGCAAAAACATTTTAAACGTACATAACTTTTCAGCTCAAGACTAATTTGCATAAAGTTAGTAAGAAAATCAGCGCCGAGTACAGATGACGTGTCAGATTGTACGACCTGGCAGTTTGATATGATCCAATTTCAGATCAGCACTGATATTCTAACTTACTCTGTGCACAGGTCCAGGTACGGATAAAGAAAGTGGTGAATCAGATCCTGGGGCTCAGAGACTGTTACGATCCGACGCGTGTTGTAGTGGTCTTCCTGTCAGAGAAGAAGCTTCTCAGCAAGACCACCTGACTGATGCTGACCACCAGAAGTATCATGGCCTCACCGATGGACCAGAATGCAACACGGGTGTTGAGGTCCTCCGCCCGACTGCGTCCCTGTGCCTCACGAAGGCGGAAGTGGGTCTGGTAGTCGATGACCGACTTCAGGGCCTCGTGGATCGACACGCAAGCTGACTCCATCTGGAAATGGTGAGAAAAAAAAAAAAAAAAAGGAAGCGAAGACATAAGATATTTTGACTGTCTTTGGCAAATTTATGTTAATCACACTTTTTGACCCTACAACCATTCACTTTAGATTTGGAACCAAGTGGTTGACTAGTTTATAACTATAAAAGACTAAGCTGAAGTAGTTCCTTGTCCACTGCATTCCTCAAAAATATGTTTTCATCTAACCACAAAATCTTGTAGTACACACTATGCAAGAATAATATTTTCTCTTTGTTATGATTAATCTGTAATGACTGACAGGTGTGTCAGTCATTACAGCAGTTTAAATCTCTTTTCAGGTATTGGGTGGAGCTTTGCTGGGAATTCCCGAAGGTCACAAAACTATTTCCAGGAACCACAAAAGTGTTAAACTTTGTTTATGAGTCACGTATGGCACCATGTGAGCTACGAGCACAGCCTAGGGCATTTATGCACAACACGCTGTTCATTGCAGTATTCTCCAAAATGCCAGAGGAAGGACAAACAATGTACTGCGAAGAAGCAAGAAGACAACAACTGATACCACCTAAACGCCATAAACCAACTTTGTCAATGCCAAGGAGGAATTGTAATTAACTGTAAACTTATATCTCATAGTTATGGACTACTTTATTGCCTTAATATAAGCGCTGTTGACAAAGAAGTCATTTATTAAATGTATTATAATGAAACGAAGGTTGAATATCTTGAAAACAATTTGATTTCAATTGAAGAAAAAAAGAATAAAAGAATCAGGTTTAAGTCAGAATTAAACAAAGCAAAAAGCATGTATATAATTGTTCAACATATACTCTTAAAATGTATAGAAACCTAAAGAAACATGCAGTTCCTCACACACAAACACAGACACAGCTTACCTGAGTGAGAGCAGTGACTCTGTTCTCATTTGGGAAGAGTGGAGGGTCGTCGCCAACCTGGAAGTCAAAGTACACCGTCTTGTGTGTAAAGGTGGAGAATTCGTTACTGAAGCAGAACTTGAAGGTGCCATTCTTGGCCGCTGTGAAGGTAAAGCTGTCATATTGCTTCTTCATCTCTTTGTAGAGTGTAGTGCCTTCTGGGTCCTCCAAACGACAGTCCACATCATAATGGCCACCGGTCACCACCTGGGAAAACAAAGACGAGACGACACAATATTTAATTTTCTTTTTTAAAGCCACCATGCATTGTGACAAGTAGTACGGAGGATATGGACAAAACTCATGTCACGATTGTAACATCCAAATCAGTCAAATGTGGTATTTTACTAAAACACAATTCAATAATTCCCTAAAATATGTTTTCAATTATCTAATGTCACAAGTTGTGCAGATTTTAGTCATATTTAGGCATAAAAGACTGGCGTGAAGAGATAATACAATCGATGATCCTCGGCTCCTCCATTCCACATGTCGAAGTGTCCTTAGACAAGATACTGACCCCCACATTGCTCCCTAAGGCTGGGCCATCAGTCAGTGTGTGTGTGTGTGTGTTATGTGTGTGTGAACGGGTGAATGGTGACATGTAGTGTCCAGCGCTTTGAGTGGTCAGAAGACTAGAAAGGCACTCTATAAATACAAGTCCCTTTACCATTTATTATAAATATAATGAATAATCACTCATCCCTAGGAAAGAGGCAACACAGTGGCCTAATCTAATGGAAGCTAAAGGCCAAATATAGCTCTCGCTAAGATCTTTAAGATGTAGGCAATATGTTTATCAGGAGGACTGAATTTAATATTTACTTATTTAGGCAAATAATTATAACTTTAGCTAGTAACAGGAAACCCACAGATGTATATGAAAATATACAGTGGGTACGGAAAGTATTCAGACCCCTTTAAATTTTTCACTCATTGTTTCATTGCAGCCATTTGCTAAAATCAAAAAAGTTCATTTTATTTCTCATTAATGTACACTCAGCACCCCATCTTGACAGAAAAAAACAGAAATGTTGAAATTTTTGCAAAGTTATTAAAAAAGAAAAACTGAAATATCACATGGTCATAAGTATTCAGACCCGTTGCTCAGTATTGAGTAGAAGCACCCTTTTGAGCTAGTACAGCCATGAGTCTTCTTGGGAAGGATGCAACAAGTTTTTCACACCTGGATTTGGGGATCCTCTGCCATTCTTCCTTGCAGATCCTCTCCAGTTCCGTCAGGTTGGATGGTGAACGTTGGTGGACAGCCATTTTCAGGTCTCTCCAGAGATGCTCAATTGGGTTTAGGTCAGGGCTCTGGCTGGGCCAGTCAAGAATGGTCACAGAGTTGTTCCGAAGCCATTCCTTTGTTATTTTAGCTGTGTGCTTAGGGTCATTGTCTTGTTGGAAGGTGAACCTTCGGCCCAGTCTGAGGTCCAGAGCACTCTGGAAGAGGTTTTCTTCCAGGATATCTCTGTACTTGGCCGCATTCATCTTTCCTTCAATTGCAACCAGTCGTCCTGTCCCTGCAGCTGAAAAACACCCCCATAGCATGATGCTGCCACCACCATGTTTCACTGTTGGGATTGTATTGGGCAGGTGATGAGCAGTGCCTGGTTTTCTCCACACATACTGCTTAGAATTAACACCAAAAACTTCAATCTTGGTCTCATCAGACCACAGAATCTTATTTCTCATAGTCTGGGAGTCCTTCATGTGTTTTTTGGCAAACTCTATGCGGGCTTTCATATGTCTTGCACTGAGGAGAGGCTTCCGTCGGGCCACTCTGCCATAAAGCCCCGACTGGTGGAGGGCTGCAGTGATAGTTGACTTTGTGGAACTTTCTCCCATCTCCCTACTGCATCTCTGGAGCTCAGCCACAGTGATCTTTGGGTTCTTCTTTACCTCTCTCACCAAGTCTCTTCTTCCACGATTGCTCAGTTTGGCTGGACGGCCAGGTCTAGGAAGAGTTCTGGTCGTCCCAAACTTCTTCCATTTAAGGATTATGGAGGCCACTGTGCTCTTAGGAACCTTGAGTGCTGCAGAAATTCTTTTGTAACCTTGGCCAGATCTGTGCCTTGCCACAATTCTGTCTCTGAGCTCCTTGGGCAGTTCCTTCGACCTCATGATTCTCATTTGCTCTGACATGCACTGTGAGCTGTAAGGTCTTATATAGACAGGTGTGTGCCTTTCCTAATCAAGTCCAATCAGTTTAATTAAACACAGCTGGACTCCATTGAAGGAGTAGAACCATCTCAAGGAGGATCAGAAGAAATGGACAGCATGTGAGTTAAATATGAGTGTCACAGCAAAGGGTCTGAATACCTATGACCATGTGATATTTCAGTTTTTCTTTTTTAATAAGTTTGCAAAAATTTCTACATTTGTTTTTTTCTGTCAAGATGGGGTGCTGAGTGTACATTAATGAGAAATAAAATGAACTTTTTTGATTTTAGCAAATGGCTGCAATGAAACAAAGTGAAACATTTAAAGGGGTCTAATAAAATGACCAAATAAGTCTGCATACTAGTGCAACATTCAGAGTTATGTTGTATATGATGGTACCTATAGAGATAGACATTTTGTTTATGTAGACAAAATCCAGCTGTTAGAGCAAAGCGTATGCATCAATAAATACAATGAGAAGACAGGAAAAGGTCCCGTGTGTTTAAAAGAACATTTTAGAAGTTTGTTGTTTGTATTTTAGAAAGTCTACCATGAATTCATCAGTCAAGATAACCAGTCTGGACTCAGATCTACAGCTTAAACATGACAACTTCCAATTAGGAGGGCTGAGGTTTTGTCCGAAAGACGACCCACGCACCTGAAACTCCAGCGTGCACTTGGTGCCGATGATGATGTCTTCGTAGAAACACTGCTTGGCGTTGTCTGGTAGCTCAAACGTTAGCTCGGAGCCCAGCACCCACACGCAGAGCAGCTGGGCCGATAGCACCTGCAACAGCAGCCGAAAGAATCCGTACATCCTGCAGACCGAGAGCCAAGCTTCACAGTGAAAACCCGAGCGGACCTGCCGACATAAAGGGTAGCAGACACCAAACTTAGTTCAACAGCGTTGGAGGCAAAACAGACAAAAATGGTGACAAAGCAAACCCGGACATTGATATCAGCGACAAGCTGTTAGCTTAAAGCTAACTGGCCTGCTGGCGAGCCTTTATATTTAGAGACACAACGTCACGAGGGATTTGTAACATGTTCTTATGCCTAACATTGGTATATTAGTGTATTATGGTCACTAAAGTAAAAGCAAATCATGACATTAACATTTCTTAATTCATTATTTTGTCCAAGTCAGCATTAGCTACTCACCTCAAAGTGCTCAACCGGATGCGCCTAACGCTAAGTAACGTATTACAAACGTGACACGGCATTGGCTGTCTTCTGTAAGACCCGCCTCCTGCTCTCCCTCATTGGTCAACAGATAAGAGGAGGAGGGCTTATGATGTCACGTGGGCCACGTCCTCATACTAGAGATGCGTATCCTCCTTTTGTCAATACACACCAATGAGGCTGCTATTGAATAGATACACTTTAGATACATTTCTGCATCTGAAAATTATGTTTTGTATAGCAGTGGACACGATACCGTAAACGTACTTAAAAGGCTGGTAGATTGAACACAAATATTTGACAACAACAAAAATCCACAAATACAAAACCTGACTGTTTGTAGCAAAAGTCCAGAATAATAATCATCATCATGTAAGGACCACTGTTTTATAGGACTCATGACATGTAAAGGCATGTGCTTGTAAGAACTGATTATATCAGATTCTATGCTACCGTTTTCATCAGATTGATGAGATGTTTGTGGTCATGAGACAACAGGTTGTGTCTTATATATATTCTAATAAAAATCTATGTGAGAACAATCCCCCCCCCCCCCCCAGAAATAGAGACTGTCTGCAACAGAGGACCTCTGAGGGTTTCATTGAGGGGGTGGAATGTTTTGTCCAGGAAAATCATTTTCTGTCTCATTTTCTCTATTGAGTCAACCATACACCCCAGGATAGCATATTTCTGTTTGAATCTGAGATGCCACTGGTCCAGCAGACCACTGCATAGAGGATGGTTGTTGCCACCACAGAGTCATTGAATGTTTGATGAGCCACAGACTCCAAAGTCCTCTTCAGCTCCTTCCTGTGGAGGGCATCTGTGCTATCAGACTTCTCCAGCTCGTTGCTCTGCTGGACAACCAGTTATTTGAAAGACTGTACAACCGCTAAACAAACTCCCTGTAAGCTCACTGTTGTTTGCAAGGTTGCTTTGTCCTTAAAAGCTAGTTGGAGGAATGTCGTGGTCCTACTCAGTTTTCATCAAATCAGCATCTTCTTGAAATTAAAGAAACAGCACCTTTGGCCTGAGCATACATCCATGGTAGCTCCTAGCTGGTCATACATTGGTCTATTGGCTGTTTCTGCACTAGCTAATTCACTGCACTTGACCCCAATCTACACCTTGTAATACAACTTTACTTATTTCTGTTGTTTTCTCTTGATCCCTCCAAGTACAGCTCTGTGTAGAGAGCCACAATGGTTGTCTCTGAAGCCTCACTGAATTATTTACCCAATGCGTTAGGGTGTGTAACCCACCGGCAGATGGGCACCAATAGATGTATTAATATATTATAATGACTCATACCACACCACTGCGCGCTGAGTGCGTCTTCCTGACAGTTGTGAATACACGTCTGACACCAAAAGTCTCGCGTGAACCAGCAACACGAGATTACAGTGTAGGGAGGGCTGCATGGAGAGCTGGAAGACAAAACAAAAGCCACACATTTCATCTCAACAGGCGCTGGTCGCTTTTTATTTTTTTGTAAACCCAAAACTAATTTGATTCATTTTTCTTATCGATTCCCGTTTAACGCCAACAGTTTGTCATCATGCCGAGCAGCACGTCTTTACTGGAGGCCGACGAGGGAGAGTCCGAGGTCCCGCCGCCGCTAGTGCACGCTTTCGCCGGTATGGGCCTCGAGGAGCACCACCAGAGCCAGACCTCCGAACAAGTAGACGAGAGCCACCCTTATCATCACCACCTCCACCAGCTCCCCCCGGTTTCTCACTTCAACCTCCTCGGTACTGTCCTCGACTTGAAGCCCCTGCATCGGCCGCCCTCTGGAGATGAAGTAAACAACATGACCGAGGACGAAGAGCCTGAAGTTATAACCGACTCCTCGTTTCTAGCGCAGGCCCACCGCCACCAACACCTCCAACCGGGGCCGTGTAGCTCCGGGATGGAGCCGCCGCCGCACATCGAGACGGTCTTGTTGTACAACGGAGACGAGCGAGACGATACCGGGCTACCACCGGCTGGTAGCATGGCGATGCTACCGCCCGGTGTGTACGGGGAGCCGGGCTACGAGGCCGAGGCGTCGCTGTTGGCTCGGAGAAAGAGCGTCAACACGACGGAGTGTGTGGCGGTGCCGAGCTCCGAGCACGTCGCAGAGATCGTGGGCAGACAGGGTGAGTCGTTGTCGTTTATAATTATATTATTAGGGTTTCAGTTCGACCCATTGGCTAACTCCCGGTTAAGTTGCTAAGAGGAGTTTGGAAGAAACTCGGTGGGAAGATAGTTCAGTCAGCTGTAGAGTAAAGTTAAATACGATACACGCAATAACTACAACAGGCCATGAAATACAACAAATGGATTCAATGATTACGACGAAATATTTGAATATACGACACTGTTAACTATTCAATACGTGTTAGCCAACTGTTAGCTAGTAACGTGAACTTATTGTTGGCACCAAAGCGCTATTTTACATTACACAACTTGGCTAACATCTTTACAAGTGACATTGTTTCACGTGGAACATTTGACTAGTTATACATAGTTCAACCATTAACGAAATGACCTCCAGTCAACGTTAAAACTCACTTCGGTTCTTCAGACCGCGGTTAGCCGGAGACTAAACTAGCTTAGCTCTCTTCTTAAGTGGGTCAACTCGCCACAACACCCTCAACAAAAGTTCGCATCACACGTTTGACGAACCAGCAGATCCATCTGCGTCTTCTCGCTTTGACAGCTCGTCTGTATTATTGATGGCGGAGTCTGTGCTTCGCGGAAAGTGGACCTGTCCCAAGCCGTGCCGTGCTAAACCAGGCTCGGCTTTGTCTCGGAGGAGAACATGAGGAGCAGTGTGTGTTGGTCACCATTGCTTTGCCACATCAGCTGCAGGTTATAGTTATAGCTCAACTCAAGACTCAACAGTTCAACCAAACACGACAGTCCTTTCTCAGATACCCGGCGCCTTTATCTTTGGTCTGTTCCACACACTTTACATAATTCAGTGACAGGGTTGGAGAATGTTATTATGTCGTCTTTGAGACCAGAGGAGGGGGGGGGGTGCACAGACTGCAGTGTTGACAACAACAGGAAATGGCTCTGGTAACGATGCTGGACTCTCAACCACAGCTGAAAGGAATATTTAATGCATAAGACATGCAACTTTTAAAGGGCACAGGTTACTGGATGCAGAGATTGCGTATGGCATAATCGTTTATCAGCTTAACATCAAAGTTTATTACCACACGCGTGTAATGTGATACATTTCAAAAGTGAAATGTCTTTCCTCGTCTTTTTCCTCTGACAGGCTGTAAGATTAAGGCACTTCGAGCCAAGACCAACACCTACATCAAGACACCAGTGAGGGGGGAGCAGCCCGTCTTTGTTGTGACGGGGCGCAAGGAAGATGTGGCCATGGCGAAGAGGGAGATCCTGTCTGCAGCCGAGCACTTCTCCCTCATCAGAGCCTCTCGAAACAAGACGGGCCCGCTGGCTGCTGCCACCAGTCCAGGGACCCCCTCTCTACCCGGACAGACGACCATTCAGGTCAGCTACTAACGTGATTATGAGTCATGAGTAGACGGACATTCTCATGCAGTGAATCACATTTAATGCAGTTATTATAAGAACCAAGTCTTGTGTACGTTAACTTCTAGTACACCGGTTCCTTAAAGGAGGCTCTCTGTGTTTTCTGTTTTTGTGTCTGTTGTTTAAAGTGTGTGTAGTAACCATGTGCTATTTCAACCCTATAGGTGCGGGTACCATATCGTGTTGTAGGGCTGGTCGTGGGTCCCAAAGGTGGGTATTTTTAATTCATGCTGTGTTCAGATAGGTTGTTTGTTCCAGTTGCTGGACTTCATGTTGTAAAGAGACTCTTCATTAGTTTTGACAGCGATTTTTAGCATCAATGGAAAAACAACACGCTTGTAAAATGCAAGCAAACACAGGTATGGACAGGTGTGCTTCAATGGTTATATTAAGATTTGTGCTTTGATTTTGCAAATGTAAGGAACAGCTTGAGTGTTTACAATAAGGCACTATATCTTAATTTTGTTATGATTTTCAAACTATGAAATTGAGCCTTTGGGTGACGAGGGGAAAAGTTAACTCCCAACAGGTGGATTTGTTCATTTTTGATTTTTGAAAGTAATTCTCTGCTTGTGTTCAGACTCATAAATGAGCCACATTTCTGTAGTAGCCTATAAATATCCTCTTTTTGTCTTTCTGAGCATTTAAAGAAAAGTGTGAATTGTCTAGAGTCTTAAGTTAAGTTGCGTCTTGAGTTTGAACATGCTCGGCTTTACTTCAGAAGGTTACAGTTTGTTCTCACCGAGGCTTTAACCTGCTTGCCCTGTTTACATTACCACCTCAGTGTCAGCAAGTCCTGGGGTTGATTTTTTTTTAAGTTGAAGTGGAATGGTTCTCAACCGTGTGCCATGAGGTAACAAGTCAAAATTACAATACATTTGGAAATTGTGAGGAAACGCTGTGTCACACAAACAGAAGCAATAGGCAGTGTGGAATATTAATATTCAATATTTGGTCTTTATGAACATTTAGATGAAGCATTTCTTACTTGCCCGTTCATTGTGAAGTTCAGTGCTATAATTATTGCACAGCTGTGTTTCTTTCAATTTCAGAAAAACAAGTGTCTTTACTGAAAATATTGAATGCTATGAATGTGTCTGTGCAAGTCTTTAGTATTACTCTGCTTTGACACACGCAGGTCAAGCTGCAGCTCAGAAGTACAAAGAGATCTGTTCTCCAGCTACATTCAGCACTATTAATACTTAACTGTTCATCTTAACTCTTAACTCTTTTCTCTTCTTCAATGGGCCATTGTTATGCTCAGATGTATGTTTCTGAGGAATGATCATGCATATCATGCCTCAAATTAAATGTAATGGTGAACTCCAGTAGCCATGTGACCAGAGCAGTTATTTAGAGTCTGTGTTCAGCTTACAAGTGTTTAAGTACAAGGGTCTTGGCCTGGTCATATCTTTCAGGAGCAACCATCAAACGTATCCAGCAACAGACCCACACCTACATTGTGACGCCGAGTCGGGACAAAGAGCCGGTGTTCGAGGTCACCGGGATGCCGGAGAACGTGGACCGGGCGAGGGATGAGATAGAGGCGCACATCGCCCTCCGCACGGGAACCTGCGGCGGCATCGAGGCTCCTGGTGTCGACAACAATGACTTTCAGTTCAACGGGACAGACGTCAGCTTTGAAAATGCTGCAGCACAGGCTGGGTTGGGGGACGCCGCGTGGCTTCATGCAGGGGCATCATCCCCCAGTGGTGGTGGTGGCGGTGGCTTGCTGCCAATGGGCATCAACGGTACTCAGCGAATAAATAGCAATATTAACAGTGGTGTCAGGATGTCTTCCACCTACCGCAACGACAGCTCCAGCTCCCTGGGCAGCGGCTCCAGCTCGGCTGATTCCGTCTACGGCAGCGGTAATGCTAACCGGGTTGCAGATTTAAGCCCAACCTGTCAGTTTAATGCAAATGCCAACAACAACAACAACAATGGCGCCAGTACAAGTTTCTGGTTTGGCGAGAGCCTTCTCCCTGTGGGGCCCGATGAGCTGGTCAACCTGGCAGGTGGAGGCTCGTCCTCAGGATTTGACCCGTTAACCATCTCCACTGCCCAAGCCTCGCACCCTGCTGCACAGCCACAGATCTGGAGCCCCTATGTGGACCACCAGCCCCCCCAGACCTTTGATGCGCGTCAATCTCAGGTAGGTGAAACTCAACAGGTGCATACAGTTTATGGCCTCCTGTTATGACCAGGTTAGTTTAGGCTTTTGCCTTTTATTGTGGACAATAAACAAGGACAAAATCAGTGCAGTGACACTGACTGCTCAGAAATTGATTAATAATCCCTTATGTTGATTCATACATTTCAAAATGCTATGTTCATATTATCTAATGACTGTTGTTTTTAATTGTCTCCAGACCAGCCACCCTGGGACGCCCCGGCTCTCTCCGACCTTCTCTGGGACAGAAGCCCTGGAGCACCCTCAGGCCCAGCGGGTTCACCGAGGGCCTTTTGGCTCAGCCGGAGCCCTCGATGCCCACAGGTTCCCCTCTTACAGCTCGGCCTTCTCCTCTTCCAGTGAAAGCACCGCCTCCTCTTCGTCCCCTCCTGAATCCTCTCTCCTCTATCGACCGGGGCTCGGATCGGCGGCGAGAGGACAGGAGATATGCATCCACTGTATGGATAACCAGGTGATCGCTGCCTTGGTTCCCTGCGGCCATAATCTCTTCTGTCTAGATTGTGCCACCCATATTTGCCGGGGTCCAGATGCCGTTTGCCCCGTGTGCCTGTCCCCGGTCACACAGGCCATTCAGCTCCGCAACATGTGATTTGAATCCATTTACTTTGATGGCTGATTGGGGTTCAGCCTCCCCACACTTCCAATTCATAACATCTGTGGGGAAATTACAAAACTGACCCTGAATCGGTGTCTAGGTGTGTCCTCACCCTTGTGTAAGGTGAGGAATGATGGGTGAATTAGGAATGATCTGTATTAAGGGCATGGGTTCGGGGGGGGGGGGGGGGGGGCCCCCCCGGTGGCCGCCT